GAGCGTTTTTCCCACTAGTCTTTGCAAACTAGCTCAGTGTCAGAGCCCTCCTTCAAGATTCACACTACGGAACCAGACCCGTCGTCATGCAGATAGTTGACCCATGAGAACAGAGTCGAAGTGCCTCAAAGAGTTTTCAAGACCAGAATGTTTAGGAAAGCTGCCACACTTTTCTCCGGGAACTTGAGCAAGCACCAGAATACGCCGGAGGCCTTGTCACAGCAGACGTTGCTGGGCTCCACCGGGTCGGGCTCCACAGTCTAGCAAGGGGCCCAAGAATCTACATGTTTAGTAAGTCTCCAGGTGGCTGCTGGCCTGGGACCACCCTTAGGGAAGCGCTGTAGAACACCTGCAGTCCTGCGGAAGGAGGAACCTTTCCCAGTGGGTTGAACCAAACACTAAGCCACACCCGTTGCGAGCCAGTGGACTCGGACCTCTAGGGCCCTCACGCAGGTCGGAGTAGACCTGAGCTCCACAGGGGTTTCAGAGGCTGCTTTTTCAGAAGTCAGTCAGCAGGCCTTTCTTCCCAGGGGCCTCTGGGTGGACCCAAACCCAACACTTTGGTCAGTAGCTGAGCACGTTAAGCACTGACTCCACCCAGGGTCTCCCCAGCAGGTTGGACCCTTTGTCTTGACTTGATTCTGACACATGGCGAGTCCACGCCACACATCACAGAGTAGGAACTGCTCGGCAGGGCTCTCGAAGCAATTAGCCAGGCCTTCCTTCCCTAGAACAAGGAGCCCTGGTAGCATAGTGGTTACACATCGGACTGCTAACTGCAAGGTCGGCAGTTTAAAACCATCAGCTGTCCTGCGGGAGAAAGACAAGGCTTTCTGTTCCTGTCAAGAGCTAGTCTTGAGAACCCAGGGAGCTCGTGGCCAGTTCTTTCTCTCTGTTTCTTGATGTAGCTGTTTTAGACATTAGCTATTTCTTGATGTTTCTTGACATTGCGGTCTTAGACATTAGCCACGACTTCCCATCAAGCTGGATAAAGATTGTGCTCCACTATAACTTTCTCAAGCACACATTCACTCTCCTTCCTTCATCTCTCTAGAAGTACAAGTTGCAAAGCCGGAAGCCAGGACAATTTGTGTAGCTCTAAAACCCACACTTTGCTGCCTCTAGTGATTGTGGGAGGCAATTGAAGGAGCTTCATTAAAAACAGGGGTTCTCACTCTGGCTGTGCCTTGTAAACAACTAGAGGGCTCTGGAGACATGCTAAACGATGCTTTGGAAGATTCTAATGTGGAGCCAGCGTGGAGAACCCTGATTTAAATGTACCCCAGCCCCAGCCCTGACCCGCCCCCTGCCCCTTGCCAGGTTTCCTCTGCCCAGATCTGGGGGAAAGGTAGAAGACAGGCCTTGCTTCAGTGAACCCGAAGAAACCTCAGAGCTGGCCTGTCATCAGCCACCGGCTGCCTTTTTTTTTTAATAGCTTCCTTCCTATTTCTTTTTCTTTAAACAAATATTTTGTTGTGTTTTAGACAGCAATTTTCATACAGACGCATTGTGTCAACGTTCACCGAGTTCCATTCTGTTTGGGCTGCTCTTCCTAGTCCATCCCCCTGCGCCTCCTCCCCGCCTCATCGGTGTGTTAGTGTAGAAGCTGTCTGGTCGCAAACAGTCGATTGTCTGAGCAAATACAGCACTCCTGGGCGACACGGTTTATTTTATAAGCCAATGTGGTATTTAGATGAAAGGTGACCACTGAGAGGGACTTCCGCTCCAAGTTCAAGGGGATCTCAGGATTCATCTCAGGGCTCCCCCCTGTCTTTCTTGGTCCAATCGGTCTTTTTTAGGTTTTGGGATGTGTTGTACGGTTTTCTTCATGTCTGCCCAGGTCTTTGTATGATATCCCTGGTTGCCAGGCACCAGCGGGTTCTTCTGATCGCAGGGTCGATGAGGCCATGCTCTTGGGAGTTTTGGGCCCTGTGGGCCAGTTCTTATGTCAAGCTTTGGTTTCCTTCCCTCCTCCTTTCTTTTCTCCCCCTTTCACTCCTTCCCTCCAGACAAGTAGAAACCAATACTTGTACCTGAGCTGAGCGCTCACAAGCTTTTAAGCTCCCAGGTGCTACCCACTGAACTAGGCTGTGGAACATGGTCTTCATGAACTATGTTATGTCAGTTGCTGTGTTAGTCCGGGTAGCTAGACAAACAAATTCATGGACACTCCTGTATGTATAGAAAAGAGCTTAATCTATAAGAGCAATTGAATATTGAGAAAACATCACAACCCAGTCCAGGTCAAGTACATCAGTCCGATATTAGCCCACATGTCCGACACCAATCTCTAAAGTCCTCTTCAGACTCACGCAACACATGCAATGATGCCAAATCCAGGAAGATCACGGGCCAGTGGGTAGGAAGTCCTGTGGATCCCATGGCATTGTAAGCATCTCAGCACTGGCAGGGGTCTCCACGTGGCCTCTCCAGCTCCCAGGGATCTGGCTGCATCAGGGTAGTTTCATGTGGCTTCTGGTCAAAAATGCCTCCCAGAGAGTGAGCAGGTGTCCCACCTCCAGAGAGCCATTCATCTCCTTAGCGCCACCAAATGAGGTCATCAAGCTGCAACCCGATTGACAGGTACACTCTACCCCTTCACTCGTGAGTCTCAAATTGACCACAGGTGATGTAACTACCACAGGTGACCTAGTTGTCCCAGGAGACTCTGGTTTCAGTCATCTTTTGTTATCATTGCTGCTGCTGGTTCATTAAGCTACATCGTCATGGGGCTTGACCACGGGTCTGCTGAAGTACAGATGGCGGCGGAGATTAGGAGAGCGTCTTTGGTGTTGTTGCCCGTGGTGCTGACAAGTTGGTTCTGATTCACAATGACCAGGACAGAACACTGCCCAGCCTGTGCTGTCCTCTCAGTCGTTCTCCTGGTTGAGCCCATCACTGACCCCACTTCAATCCGTCTCATCAAGGACCTTCCTCTTGTTTACTGCCCCTCTACTTTACCAAGCATGATGCCCTTCTGCAGGGACTGGTCTCTCCTGACAACATGTCCAAAGGACGTGAGCTGGAATCACCATCCTTGCCTCTAAGGAGCATTTTGTCCGTACTTCTTCAGAGATAGTTTTATTGATTCTTTTGGCTGTTCGTGGTAATTTCTATATGCTTTGCCAGCACCATAATTCAAATGCATCAGTTCTTCTGTCTGTCTGATTCAATGTCTGGCTCTCACGTGCATCTGAGTCCGTGTCGATTAAAATACCATATGCACCTCAAATTAACATCCTGGCTTTTGAAAGAGGTCTTATGCAGCAGATTTACCTGATGCAATACATTATTTGATCTCGTGACTGCTGCTTCCATGAGCATTGATTGTGGATCCAAGCAAGACAAAATCCTTGATAGCTTCAATCTTTTCTTTCTTTACCATGATGTTATCTATTGGTCCAGTTGTGAGGATTTTCTTTTTTTTTACATTGAGTTGTAATCCATACTGAAGACTTTAATCCTTGATCTTCATCAGCGGGACTTCAGTTTGTCCTCACAGTCAGCAAGCAAGATTGTGTCCCCTGCATATCACAGGTTGTTAATAAACTTTCCTCTGATCCCGATGCTGCATTCTTCCTCATCGCATCCAGCTTCTCTGTGCTCAGCACACAGGCTGACTAAGGATGGTGAAAGCCTACAACCCTGAGGCACCCCTTTCCTGATTTTATACCAGGCAGCATTCCCTTGACCTGTTTGCACATCTGCCTCTTGATTCAAGCACAGGTTCTGCACGAGCACAATGCAGTGTTCTGACGCTTACATTCTTCTCAGGGTTGTCCGTAGTTTGGTATGATCCACACCGTTGAACATCTTTGCATAGCCAACGAAACACAAGTAAACATCTTTCTTGTACTCTCTGCTTTCAGCTGAGATCCATCTGACATCAGCAGTGATATCCCTTGTTCCACGTCCTCTTCTGAATCCAGCCAGAACCTCTGGCAGCTCCCTGTCAATGTACTGCTGCAACCAGAGAGCGTCTTAGAGTCTGTCTTAATGTTCTAGTGTTCTTGTTTTAAAAAAAAAATACTACAAGTGAGTGGCTGTACCAAATGGAAATTTATTTCCTCACGGTTCAGGGCCTTAGAATTCTGAGTTCAGGGCACTGACTCGAGGGGAAGGCTCTCTCATTCTGTTATTCTGGGGAAGGGCTTTGTCCTGGTCCGTTTCGTGGAGATGTCCACGGAGGCGCTATCTTTCCCCTTCGGTGGTTGCCTGCTTCTGTCTGTTTTCTATTTGAAAAGTGACTCCATTTGAAGATGCACCCTATCCTGATAGGGCCTCGTCAACATGATTAAGAAAGTCCTATTCCCAGATGGGATTATACCCACACGTGTAGGGATTAGGCTTGACAACATTTTATTTTTGAGGGACACAATCCATTCCAGAGCCCCTCGGAGAGAGGCAGATGGTGCGATCCTTAAGTGTGATCATGATAACAGCTAGATGACGATGCGGCTGCTAGGGCCCAACATGGTATGTATTATCGCGCGCACTCTTACATCCACCTGGTAATCTATGTAGCGTCTCCTCATTTTGCCAGCCGGCAAATGGAGGCTCAGGGAAGGTCACCCTCAGAAGTGGCGAGGCCAGGAGCCACAGCCAGGCCCGTCTGACTTCTCGCCCATCATTCCTTCCTGGGGCTGGAGCACACCTTAGATGCCTCCTTGGACTGACCGGCCTGCCCTCTCACTCCTGGCCAGCACCAGCCCGTCTGTGGGTCGGGGAGGAAAGGTTCCAGCCCAGGCTTTTCCAGCAGCTCAGTCAGTGACCTTCTGCTTCTTCCTCTGTAATAATTCCCGGAGTTGATTCAGAGATCGGTGGGAGGTCCTTAACGCTCCCACTGTGGGATCTGTGGCCTTCACCCCCAGGGGGCAGCTGGGCTTGGGGTGAGAGGTCAGCCTTAGCTTCTAGGGCACTGGGAGCCAAGTCTTTGGTTAGGAAATACGGCTTTGAGACTCAGCCAATATGTGTTCTCTTTTCCCTCCCCTCCCTCTCAGCTCTGGAGTGCTCAGAAAATCAAGCAGGTAATGCCATTTGGGATGGTTTCCCCTCCCTTCTCTGTGCTCCCCGCTGCCCTGTCCTGCCCCGTCTGGGGAGCCAGCTACCCTCCATGGCTGTCGCGTTCCTTGCTTCTCCCTTGCGTCTGTCCCTGGCCTTCCCACCCCTTCCTTCTCCAGCACCTGAGGACTGGCCCTCGGGCCCTGAGCCCTCAGAGCTCTGGGGAAGACCGGGTCTGGGGTCCTTCCACAAGGTCCTCACTGCCTGCCTGCCCACCTGGCACCAGGCACAGGCCATGCCTCGCGCGGGGCCTTCTGGTTTCCTTGCAGTCAGCCGTGAGGCTCACTCGGGAGGGCTAGGGTGGTTTGTGGCAAATGTTGAGGGTTTTCTTTGCTCCGAATGTGAGTGAGGACTGACCGGACAGATGGCAGATGCAGCTAGGGGCTGCCTGAGTCTTCCTTGGGAGGCCCACGCATCTCCCTCCTGACGCCTCTAACGCCCTGGCTTGTCACATACCTCCCCCAACTCGGCTGCCCACCTCCCACCACCAATCCCCGCAACCCCGGCTACTAGGCTGTGCTCTCTTTCCCGGCTCCTGCCAGGCTATTCTGCATCCAGACACCAATGAGAAGATCTTCATGCCCTTTAGGATGTCAGGTAAGCCTGGGGCCCTCTGGTTCTGCCCAGCCTGTTGCAGTCACTGCTGAAGGGCATCCAGGTGCACCCGCCTGAGGAGGATGGGGCCTGGCATATGCATGTCCACACTGGTCTCTTGACTCAATCCTGTAAGACTGGCCAGCCTCGGAATCTCTGTGTTGTTGCTGTTGTTGTTGTTTTCGTTGCCTGCCTTCTCTGCCTGGTCCCCAACTTTTCTGACAGAACAAAGTGGTTAGTACCGCCCCACAGGTCAATGTGGTGCCCTCCTTCCTAGGTCACACACTTCTGCCTCAGAGCAGCTGGGGCCTGGCCCTTGTGTGCAGGCCCACCTGGCTTCTACTCAGGGAGGACGGAGCTTTCCTTCCAAGTTCTGCCTCCTGCCCACCTGCCAGGCAGCAGCCAGTCCCCAGACCATGCCCGTTCTCCGATCCTGCTTCACCTGCCTCTCAGAAAGCCTGTGCTCTGAAGGCTGGATCTGGTTCTGAGCAGGCCAGTGGCCAGAGGTAGGAAAGGAGAGGCCTGCCCCAGAAGTCTCTCGGGAGTGGGGGTGGGAGGAACAGCGCTGATGTAGCGGTGGCCCCAACTCCAGAGAGCCCGGCAGCATGCAGGAGAGAGAGTGAAGGACCAGGGACTGCTTGACAGCAGCATGCATGCCAGGCAGCTCGTGCCCTGCGACCCTTGTTTTGTGCTCAGGAACTCCCAGGCAGCAAGGCTCAAAGCGTCCTGTGTCTGGGCCATAAGGGCTCCCCAGCCCCTGCCAGGCCACCGCAGGGGACCTGAAGCTCTCACCCCAAGTGTGGCCTCTCTTGTGCTGCTTGACCTTGGCCTCTCCCCCTGAGGGAGGTGGACAGGAGAGCGATGGCACCAGTGCAGCACACGTTTGCTGGGCCAGGAGGCTGCCCACCGCCGAGTGGGTGGTGGCAGGAGCCTTGTGGCCGGGGAGGACACGGCACCCAGGGCCCTGCTCGGCTTCACGCCTGCTGTCTACCATTCCGCAGAGGGGGTGTCTAACCAGCGTCCTTGAGATTTAAAAAGCTGTGACACTTACAGGCCTTCATCTCAGGTAGGGAGGAAGTGCCCTCACCAGAAATGGCTCATGAAGCCGGGGAAGTAAGGAGCGTGCTAGACAAGCAAGCTGATGGGAAGAGGTGGGAGAGTGACCGTGGGAAGATGGGTGTGTCTGGTGTGGGTGGGGTGTGCACCTCATGGAGGAGGTCATCCGAGGTGCTGAGTGGTGCAGTGGTGGGGCGCCCGGCAGGCAGCCCTGACTTTAAGGCATGGGCCTCTCCGTTTTAGAGGGAGGCTGGGGACTGATGTTGGAAGCCTCTGTGCACACGGCTGTCGACGGCTGAGCTGGGGAGGGTCTGCGGGCTGAAGGTGCTTCCTGCCTCTCGGACCATCCGTCAGAGCCTTGACGGGTCCACACCCAGCAGGCCGCTTCCCATCCCAGTGCAGAGGCGGGTCGGTCAGATTCGGAGGCTGATGACAAGACCTGACGCTTTCTCTCCCCTCCTACAGGTTACATTCCTTTCGGGACTCCAATTGTAAGTACCTTCCTTCAAAGGATTCTTCTCTTAAAAAATGTTTTAATGTGTAACTTGACATCATTGTTTATGAATATTTGTTTGATCGTTTGATTGTTTGATGAATAAATCGTTTGTTGATTGAAGATCAATTTCCAGAGGGGGACGATTGGAGGAAATGGTGTAGCTTTCTTTTTAATTCTTTTGAGGTACAATATCAAACTCCTTTCCATAAAAGGGCCAAGTACAGGTAACGGTCCGATGAGCTTCAAAATCCACGTTGAGTGAAAGAAGGCAAACACACACAAGTCCATCCTGGTGGCTCCATGCACGTGAAGTTCAGTCCAAGCAGAGCTGGAAAAACTGGGACAAGTCCCGAGAACCCTCCTTTTCAGAGGCCGGGACCGGGAGGGGGAGGGGCAGGGGCGTGCGCGAAGTCCCTGAGCTCTGATGATGCTCTGACCGGTCACCTACGTGATGCTTCAGTGGGTGTGTTCCCTTTATGGGACAGACCTTTCTGTGTGCTTCTTTTACTCCAATTTTTAAAAGGTAAATCTAGCCTATATTCCAAAACCAAAGAAAAAGAATACGAAAACCTCTTTGGGAAATCCTTTTAAGAAGGCATTTTCTTTTACTTCCCGAGTTCCTTGCGGAAACTCCCTTGTAATAACTTGGGATGGGAAAGGCACACTTGGGATGGGAAAGGCACACCAGTGAAGGCACGCACAGACTCTTTGTCGGGTACACGCTAGATTGGATAGAGACAGAGATACAGACACAGGCGCAGGCATTAGGCAGGAGACATAGCTATAATAGGGACTGACTATCTCATCTCATATGGACCAAACCACTCAGAATCATGGCCCTACCAAGTGGACACAGAACCTGAACCATCACAGTTCACCTCAGTCAATTTGTCACCTGTATACATCTGCTTAAGCCACATCTAAACCTCTAAATAAAGGTCATGTTAAAGCTTTCCTTGTATCTAATATGATGCCTAACACATCCAACCCAAGTCACACTAGCCCCGTTGACGTCTTGCGTTTTATATGTGAAGAAAGCAAAAATGTAGAAAAATTCGAGGAAGAAGCCCTTGCTTCTGCAGTTGGTCATATACTCGTAGCTGGCACTTAGAACTAACTTCTTCCACTACCCATTCTGTATCCCCTTTGCCTTCAGCAAGTACCTCAGCTAATCTGGGTCCTTTACCTAGTGGGTTAACCTAAATCTTTGTTCATGAAAGGTCTGGGCCGTCCGTAGTCATGGTGGAATTGGGTTGTCACAGTTTTCCATTGACTTTAATCACAGGGCATGGTTATGCTAAGCTATCCCAAGGAATCTCCTGAATTCCAAACATATTTTTCTTTACCTCCATGACATAATATAATTCCAGTTTCTCCTTGGTAATCAGCATCAATCACATTACTCAGTACAGTAACTCTCTTCTTTTCTTGTTGCCCCCGCCTCCAAAAAAATTGGAGGTCAAGTACTGAGTCAGATAAAACATTTAGAGCAAGCAAAAAGCCAGAGAGCTTGCTAGAACATTCATATGTATCAGATGCAAGCCACACACCCAGGAAAATCGCCTTCAACTGATTGGCTGCTCATAGCAGGTCCCATCAGGGAGGTGATTACACGATATCACCTCCCAAAGTGGGGGATAACTACATCATTACAGAACTATCAAACCACGGAGAGTCGTAGCCTAGTGAAATTGACACACAAGTTTAACCAGCACCCTATTTATCAATAGAAAAGAATGAGCTAGTGTTATACGCAGCAACACGGAGGAATCTCAAAAACAGTATGTTCAAGAAGCGCCAGCAAGCAGACCCAACCTGCTACATACTGTAGTGTTTATCTGCCATTTATATGACATTCTGAAAAGGCAAATCTAGAGTGACAGACTTCAGATTCGTTGTTCAAGGGGCTGGAAACTAGGGAAGAGGATGGACTCCAAAGAGGCATGAAGGGATTTTTTAAACGATGGAATTATTTCTTTATTGTGGTGATGCAACTGTACATACTCATCAAAACTTGTAAACCTCTAGAGAAGATAGGTTTTATTATACATGAACGATAGCGTAATAAACCGGATTCCAGGTTGATTGGAAGCAGGTCAGAGGTATTTCAGACCTTGATGGAAATAGCCTCGTCTCAGCGGTGATTGCTGCACAGCTTGGCGAATCTGCCGCTGACGCGTATGGACTTGGAAGGGTGAGTTTCATGGTATGTGCACCATATCCCGGTTCACAAAGAAAAGGAAGACCAACTAGCCTTGAAGAGAATAACGAAGTTGGAGGATTTAACATATGAAACACTTTGTAATTATTGTATTTTGGATATACAATTAGGCCACTAAAACAGAGGAGAGTGCAGAAACAAAGCCCTTACACCTGCAGTCACCCGATTGACATCCAAAGGCACTTCAGAAAGTCCATGTAGGGACTTCCGGCAAGAGGGATGACTAGGCAGACTTGCTACATGGACCCTCTACAGCAGGGGTGGGGAAGTGGCAGGCCGGGGTAGGGTGGGGGGCATAGAAGGCCTGCAAAATCATCCATTCCAGCCAGCTTCACACACTTCACCAGCGAGAATCAGTTCCAGACATCACACTAGGGCTGAGTTAATGTCTGACCAATGCGGCCTGTGAACAGTGGTATAAATATCCAAATGGCCCTTGGCAGAAAAAGGTTCCCCACCCTGCTCTCCAGCAAAGACAGGGGAGACCAACTGAAAAATAGAGACCGATGATAATCCTGGAAGCTGAGGGTCAGAGAAAGCGGTAGAGCAGTGGATTTAATGCTACCTAGGAGATGAAGCTGAGCCGAGTGACGAGGGCAGAGACAGACATACGGATTGCTGGCTGCCTGCGCGGCATAGCCATCTTGCTTGCTCTTTTGCAAACAGTATCCGATGGAGACCGAGGTCGACAACATGAAAGCTCACCAGGGGCTGGCAATAAGGAGGTGATCTTCCCTCGTTCCCTCAGGTTCCTGGTCACCCCTGGGTGAGCAAGCGCTCCTTCAATAATTAGCTGCCCTGCTCCCAGTTGCCCTCTGGGCCTGACATGGTTTCCTGTGAAGCATGCCCGCTGACTTCAACCCCTCTCTAGGCCAGTTCGATCCGGTGCCCTGACTCCAGATAACATCAAGCCCCTCCCTCTAGGATCGAGCCTTCTGCCCTCTCACCTGTGCTCCTTGGCTGGCAGAGGGTCCTGACCCGTCTCCTCACCCCTTTGCCCTGGGTTCGTCCCCTGCCCTTCTTTTACCCTTTCTTAGTTTTTTCTTTTCTCTTCTTCCCTCTTCCTGTCTCTTAAAAATTATTCGTTTACCTTCCTCTTTTCTTTTTAACACTTCTCATTCTTTTTCTTTTCTCTTATTTTTGTTTTGTTTTGTGTTTCTGTATAATTTTCCCTTTTTCCTCATGCCTAGTTTGCTTATTGGATGTTTTTTTTCCTCTTCCCTTATAATTAGTTTTATTTCCTTTTTATCGTATGGGTTATTAAGTTCTGTTTTGATTGTGACTGTTGTCCTGCTTTCCCCTTGTGCGGGGCTGGGTTCTCTAGAGAGGCAAAGCCAATTGTGCGTGTGTGCGTGTTGTAGATAGAAAGAGATGTATATCCACAGATGACTCACTTAGCTGTGGAAGTGGATAAGTCCAGTCCAGTCCAGTCAGATGTAAGATAGGGATTTCTCCTGACTCGTATAGCTGCAGGGGCCGACAAACAGGAAGCAGGAGGATGAAGCAGGAAGCCCCCAGGCTGGTGGAGGCAAAGCTGAATGAAGCTTCCTAGCCCACTGAGGGCTCCTGGGATCGGCAGGCAATATAACAGGAAGTCCATGAACCAGTTGCAGGATCCAGATGCACTGTTGATCGATACTAAAAGTAGGCTACATCCTGAATGAACCTTCCCTCAATTGGGTCAAGCCTATGACCAGAGTAAGGAGGTGGTATATACCACAACTTAGTTCTTCCCACAACTGCTTGGCTGCTTCTCAGATGAGCCCATCATGGAATTGACCAAATATCATGGGCTAACCCTAGCCCACTCAAGCTGGCATAAAACCAAACTGTCACATCCCTGATTGTTTTCCCCCTTTAGTATATTCTCTCTCTCCTGCCCCTCTCTTGCTCTCTGTTGTGGCTCTCTCTCTCTCTCTTTCTTTCTTTCTTTCTTTCCCTACCTTCTGACAGGAGCCAGCAACAGTGATCTTAAGCCCAGCAATATCTGTACCTTCTGCAGCCCCAACCAGGGGTGAGGCCCATGACCTGCTCCTGTGCCACCTGATCAGCCATGGACGGTGGCCAACCCCAGCCAGACCTGCCCTCACCTGTGCTGCATGAACAGTGCACACATGTTCTCTATCACACCCACCAGGAGCTGGTGGTGAGCGCCTAAGGACACATGCTGTGTCAGTCTGGGTACCTCAGAGAAAGATCCTCAGAAACTCATGTATAAGAGAGAGTTTTATATAAAGGGTACGTGCACATCAAGAAAACATCCCAACCCAGTGCTGCCCAAGCCCACAAGTCCAACATTAACCCATATGTCCGACACCAATCCACAAAGTCCTCCTCCATCTCACAAAACACACTCTATGGCACCGACTGCGGGAGGAAAGCCTGTGAATATGTAAGCATCTCAGCGCTGGCAGGGGTCTCCACATGGCTGCTCCTGCACCCAGGGCTGCATTGGGGTAGGTCCATGTGGCTTCTCCTCAGGGATGTCTTGCAGGAAGTGAGCCTTGCCAGCTGAAGCAGGGAACTGGCTAAGGCAGCTGCACCCTGGTCTGACCATCACAAAGGAAGAGACCCGAGAACTAGAAAGGCGAGGCTCACCGAGCCATTTATCTCTCCGCCCTTCAATTAACCCCACGTGTTTATCGGCCAGGTTGGCACAATAAACTACTACCTCATATCCACATACAATCATCAGTTAACACAAAGACAACACCACAATGCCTTAGAGGCAATGGATATTTTCTGTTCACACACACACACAAAACAAAGTAGAG